CATCTATACCCTTTGATCTGAGTTATGCTCTGCTGAAGTCACTTTACAATCATCTTGGGCTCCAAGAAAGAGAAAATTCACTGATAAGCATCCTGTGTGAAGGTAACTTGCAAAACAGGCAATGCCTTCTTCTTATCTTCTTAAAGGAAACGACCAAAAACTTGGGAAATAACCCACCAGGCAACTTGTTCCAGTCTGGCCCAAAGTTAAAGTTTTAACAACTCCAAAATTCTTCCAGAGACAAAAACTGAGTTAATGGTCAACCAGACCATACCTGTGATTTAGGACTGAACCCAATGTTTGGACCTATAATGACTGCTGAAGATGCACTGGAATGCTGTCTTCCCATGGCTGCCATGTAATGAATCACCTTCCTTACCCCTTTACCATGTCTTCTTATTTGGCACATGGGGTCAAATGGCCAAACCTAACTTGGGATTCCTGGACTTTGGGCCTGGGGTCTAAAAGCTCAGTCTCATGATCCCTTGTTAGTATTTGTTGAGATGGGAGTCTTGCTATGTATCATAGGCTGGCCTCAAATTCACTGAATAGCCCAGGCTGGCCTTAAACTTGCCATCAACCTTAGTGTTAGAATTACAGTCATGCACCATGACACTTGGCTCTTGCATTCACTTTTGAGACCAGTATTTCAACCAACAAGACCAACGCAGAGTCCAAAGAAGCACAAGAAAGATTAGAGGGCTACAAATATAGCTAGACAATAAAGTTGGGGATATTTTGCCTAGACAACTGAAAAAAATAATAATATGTTTGTTTTAAAAAGTTTTCACCTGGGCGGGGGGGGGGGGGGGGGGGAGGGGGGGGAGGGGGGGATGGGGGGGAAGGCTGGGAAGGGATGTGAAGGGTAAACAAAGGAGGAGGCTGCAATGCTTGATAAGAAATGTACGCATTATCTTGCCCACGTAATTGTAACCCCTCTGTAAAGTATGTTCACAAAAAATTAAAATTAAAAAAAAAGTTTTCACCAGAGAAAAGGAGGAAAACAGTCAGCATTAGAAAGAAGCCAACATGAAAAAGTGCTTTCAACTAGGTTCTTTCATAATGCAGTAAAGCAAACCGTGACCCTACCTGTCAAATGTGTAGAGATCACATATCAGATGGTAAGGTGGATACATGATACTCTTAAGATGCCTTTCAACTTTAAGATCCTAAGAAAAACTGTTGTCTAGAAGCAGATACCAAAAATAACCCCTGAAATTATTTTCAAAGGTGAAAGAAACTCACACTTTTTTCATTTAGAAAAGATCACAGCAAAAGCCAAACTTCAAAAACAAATTAAAGCTGAGGCACAGTTATTCATCTTTTAAAAGCGCTGAAGACATCCTCTTGGTACTTATTTTGTTGTTATCCACTCCCCAATATGTGGAAAGGGACTTTTGGGAAATGTTTATTACATTGCTTGTGTGTAAGTCTTACTATGTGTTCAAACTATACTGTGCTGACTAAATATGTACAGTTTCCATACAAAATCAATTATATCTCAATAAAGCTTTAAAAAATAAAGTGCCAAATGAAATTTTATTTGAAGAACTTCCATCCTCTAATTCATTTCCATAATAGTACCTTACATATAGAAGCATCCACATGTTCGTTATCTGGCTGATTGATGATTGTTTCACAAATACCTGCTTTTCCCTCCCTATCAACCCATGCCCTCCCCGCTCCCACCTTGCTGAGGGTGGAATTTAGAACCTCACGCTTGCTAGGCCGGTACTCTACTGCTGAGCCATGCCACCAGCATAAATACCTATATACACTAATAAGAAACACATGGGGAGGGGCTGGGAAGGTGGCTCAGTGGTAGAGTGCTTGCCTTGCATGCATGAGGCTCTGGGTTCGATTCCTCAGTACCATATAAGCAGAAAAAGCTGGAAGTGGCGCTGTGGCTCAAGTGGTAGAGCACTAGCCTTGAGCTGAAGAGCTGAGGGACAGTGCCCAGGCCCAGAGTTCAGGCCCCATGACCAGCAAAAAAAAGAAAAAAAGAAGAAAAAAAAAGAAACACATGGAATTGGCATGAATTAGACATACGAGTTTTTCATGTACATTGTTTGTATAAAAGGCAAATGTTCATTGTTCTTTTTTAACTTTTTTTCTAAGCGAAATCATCTACTAATTTCATCTGTTTTAGATTTGAACTAAATCTAAATACAAGCCTAAGCTGACAGTGTACTGACTTTCCTTCAGTCTTGACGTGATAAAAGAGTAAACACGCAGACATTCCACTAAAGGAAACAAATGGTACATATCTTGTTTTTCAAGTTCACAAGCTGTCTGCTTCAGCAAATGTGTGCAGCAAGTTTTTTTCCTCAAATTTCCTATTACCCCCCCCCCATTACCTCATTGCTAGCTTCCCTCCTCATTCTATATGTTTAAGTTGACTTCCCTCATGTAAAATGTGTTTCAAAATTATCTTTTACCAAAGCCATTCACCATCTTTTCATAATTATTTCTCTGCATATACCTCTTTGTCTTTTGAACTATACTTTTCAGGTTTTTGTTGTTGTTGTTGGCTTGCTTTGCCAGTCCTGGGGCTTGAACTCAGGGCCTGGGCATTGTCCCCAAGCTTCTTTTGCTCAAGGCTAGTACTCTACCACTTGAGTCATAGTGCCACTTTGTCTTTTTCTGCTTATGTGGTACTGAGGAATCAAACCCAGGGTTTCATGCATGCTAGGCAAGCAGTCTACCACTAAGCCACATTCTCAGCCCTAATGTTTTTAAATTCAATTCAATGACTCATAGCACCAGCTAAGAATGTTGGATTTTAAAAGTCAAACAAATGGAAAACCTAGTAACTAGAGAACTTGATCTCACTGACACTAAAACCAGAAAGGAAAAGATGGGACTTGTCTGAAATTCTCTTTTCTTTCCCTTTTATCATTTATCCTTTTGCTAGTGTGTGTGTGTGTATATGTGTGTCTATGTGTGCGTAGGGAAAGAGAAAGAAGTGATGAAAACAGGAATTCTATAAAATTAGTAACTGCTAAAATGTATCAAGTTATCACTTGTTTAATGGTAATCAAGGCACCTAAGAAACATATAAAGTTGAAATAAAAGAGATTGGAGTACATCTTTTAGAGCAAGGAAATAAATGAAACTTAACCACAGGATTCAAGGTGATAGAACTCTGAATTAATGTGTGTATTATTCTTTAGGTTACATTTATAATCTATTAGTAGTTTTCAGTGGTACACCCACAGCATTTCCACATGGATGAGGCTGAGTTTTGACACAGCCCTTCCTATCTGCTCCCCCATCTCTGGCCTCCCTTTCACTATAGCACAATGACACTGAACTCTGCTTTTCCAAAACAGTTGTTAGTAGTCCCTGTCATCCCTTTCTTTTCTTTTTGGCCACAGACCAGTCAGTGCTTATTCCAAGATTGTGCAAGTAAATGGTTGCCCTGGCTATCTGATTAAAATAATCAGATAAAAATGAGTCAATTTCTCTTTCTCTCATTTCAAAAGGTACATTCTAATTCTAGTAGGTCTATGTGCATTTTTGGTGTATCTGTGTGCACACACAAGAGCATCAGCTAGTAATGGGGTATAAATTCAGGGTCCGGTTGTTCTCTCTTAACTTTTTCTGCTCAAGGGTAGTGCTCTACCTCTTGGGCCACACCTTCACTTCCCACTTTTGCTGTTAAAATCAGAGATAAGAATCTCACAGACTTTCTAGCCAGGGGGCTAACTTCAAACTGCTCTGCTCAGATCTCAGCCTCCAGAGAAGGTAGTAATCCATTGGCTTACTATCTCAGCCATGAGCCACTGGCTCCAGGCTTCACCATTCATTCATAATGAATGAATAAATTTATCAGCTGGAGGCATTTTCAAATTGTCTCTTTTTTCTGTTGGTATGTCCATCTTGACATAGACACGATTTCTTCATGCTTTGGGACTGATGATCTTTCAAGGCCACGTCTCTTCCTTGGAATGAGTTAAAAAGTCTGGTTCCTTTTCGTGAGGAAAATGGTATTCAGAAACCAAGACCTGATTGCATAATCCATCTCAATACATCTAAACGTCCCGCTCCCGTTTCCCCAGGCTACCATAGGAAAGACTGGTGTGATGACTTAAAACGTCCAACTTGAGCAGTACCTGTGTGACTCTGGCAGTCCCTCCACGCCTTGCTGCTGGCCTGGTCATCTGAAAAGACATGGGACACGAATTTCCTAAGTTTCCAGGGTCACCAGCCACAGGGAACGTGACAGAAGCTATGGCCCCCCCTCCCAAAACTCAAAAAAGAAAAAGCCAAGCCAAGCCTACGTTTCAGGGGCTCTAGCTCCGACACCCACGGGGGCGGGGGGGGGTCCCCAAGTCTCGGGATGAAGTCATCTCGGGATCTCTCCAACGCGGACATTCTGTGAATCTCCATGCACCCGGCTGCCGTCAGCAGGACTCCTCTGAGGAAAGTGGATGGCTTTAAATAGCAACACCGAGAGGGAAAGACACAAAGGAAGGAGGCTATGAGCAACGCGTTACTCAGTCACCATTCTCGGTCGCCTCCAAATTTAGGGCGCAGTCGACTCATAGGTGAGAGGTTTTGGCGGGAAGGGCCTCAGGTGGGCGGGAAAAGAGCCTGAGGTGAAGTTCGCCGGTGCACGCTCCGTCCCGCCCACCAGGGCTCGCTCTTACCCTTCCGTGGAAGGCACGGGGGACGGAGGCGGGGCCTGTCGCCCCGCCTCCAATGGCAGCGAAGCTTGGGGGCGGGAGGAGAGGGGGGCGGGGGAAGGGAGAGAGGACGCCGAGACCCGGAAGAGACGCGCCCGCCCGGCTCGCGCGGCGCGGCGCCCCTCCCTTCAGCTGCCGACGTCGGCGGTGCTCCGGTCGCCATGGTGACCAATGGAGGCCTGGCCCCGCCCCCGCCCCGGCCCCCTGACGTCGGCGCACGTCAGCGGCGGCGCGCGCCTGGCTGGGCCCTGCGGAGCGGGCGGGCAGGGAACGCTGGAGCGAGAGCGGAGCGGCGGACGCCAGAGCCGAGCCGAGCCGCGCCGCGCCGCGCCGTGCCGCGCCGTGCCGCGCAGCCCAGCCGCCCGCTCGCGCTCCAGTCGCCGTGTCTAGCAGCGGGGGCCCAGCATGGTCATGGCGGATGGCCCGAGGCACTTGCAGCGCGGGCCGGTCCGGGTGGGGTTCTACGACATCGAGGGCACGCTGGGCAAGGGCAACTTCGCCGTGGTGAAGCTGGGGCGGCACCGGATCACCAAGACGGAGGTGCGGCCCGGGGCTCGGCGGGAGCGTCCGGGGCTCGGGCTCGGGGGGAGGCGCTGCATTTTATTTGTTTTACGTGAGGGGAGGGGGCCCGGCTGCAGCGGTGCGGCCGCGGGGACCGGAGACCCGGGGAGGCTGCGCCACTGGCCGAGGCGCGCGGGCCTGGGACCGTGCGGACCCCGAGCGGTGCAGGGGGCCGGGGGGGAGGCCCGGGACGGCGCCGGGGTCCGCTCGCTCCGACACCCCCGGCCCGCCGGAGCGTTTTTCCATCCCCGACGCCAGACCGGCTGGCCGCTCGGAATTCTCGCCAGGAGCCTCCCACCTCTCCCGGGCCGTGACCCGGTGTGTGGTCTCCACTCCGGAGCCCAAGTTCCGCGTCTTCCCCGCTTTCGGCTGGAGGCGGGCGGGGGGGGGGGGAGGTGCGCTGTGGTGGGAGGGGGAAGTCTCGGTGTCCCCGGGGCTGAGCACCGAGAGACAGCCCGACCCGGGGGAGGGGGGAAGCCGTCTGCGAAGTGGGCTCCGTGGGCCGGGGTCGCGCGGGCCCCTGACCCCGGCGTCCTTCCCTGCTCGGAGGAGAAGGGGGTGGGGGCGGCGGCGTGGTCCCGGTGGCCGCGCGTGCCCCGGGCTGACGGCCACTGCCCTTCTCCTCTGCATCTGCCCCGCGGGGTGTCTCGAGTTGCCGTCTGGTTAGTTCGATCTCCGGGGTGAGCTGTTTCCTTCTCCTACTCCAGACAATAGGACTGGTTAAAATGGTCATCGCCGCCTTTGCACCGCTCGCTGGGTTGTCTCTCTACCTGGGGTGCGTTCCGCCGGTGAAGTCGCATTCCTTGCAAACCAGACGGGATTGCCGCTCTACTGCTTCCTGACCGAGACTCCGGCACCCCCCGCCCCCCACCATCCCGGTCCTTTGCACATTCTAATGCACCGCACACATTTTCTCACGTCTCTGCTCTTACCTAACCCACCCCCTTCCCTTCAACTGCCTCGAGCTGCTCTTTCACTCTCCTCGGGGTCTCTATTTTAAGATGTGCAAATTAAATACCTTGGGGTGGGGGGAGAGGAAAAAAAAGGTAGGAATAAAACCATAGAATAACACCTAGTGGTTTTGACGTACTCTGTTCTGTCTTACTGTAATTGCCACTCGAGTTTCACCATTTTTCATCCTGTTGCCTTTTTTTTCTTATTAGTACCGGTATACTAGTCTTCGAAGGTAGAATGAAGTAGGACTGTCTCTGTGTCTTTCTCTCTGTCACACACACACACACACACACACACACACACACACTACTTATGTAAGCTTAGCGAGAGGCATTTGAAAACTTGAGTGATTTTCCTAGCAGTTGTTGTACTTAGAAGTTTTGCTTAAGTGTCAGTTTCCAAAAAGAAGAGGAGCGTCCAAATCGGATTTATTTGGGGCATGAAGACCAAGGTCGCAAATTTTCTTCCTGTAAATGTATGGATGCTCATTTTTTTTAGGTTGAATGTGATGATGACTGTAATTGCCATGACTCAGTCTTTGCAAAGACTTAATCTGGTCCCAGCTTTTTTTTTTTAATGAAAAGGAAGAAAGTGGTTCCATTCCTCTAAAGAGCCATCACCAAATGTCATATACTATTTAAGTTACATCAAAAAAATAAAACACTTTGAGGTTGTTTTTAAGACTTTTCAATGGCTGTCTTAGAACATCAAATAGCACATATAGAGAACTTTTGAGCTACTTAGTGGTTGAATACTCGATCTGTCCTTTCATAATTTTTTTCTTAGAAGCTTTTAGGTTTACCAAGTTTTAATTGCTGGCTGTTATTTGCCAGGGCCAGTATAAGTAATATAGTATCTGTTTAAGAGCCGAGTAAGTGGAACTAATGGTAAACTGACACTTTATAGAGATTGACAATTCAAATGGTGTTCCTTTCAACTGGTATTTCTTAGTGAGTGTGCTAGGGGGCGCCATGAAGTAACACCGTTTGGGGTGTTTTATGGAGTTTTTGTTTTGTTTTGGTTTTGGCATTCAGCTAAAGTTGGACCATGCATTTGTAATTGAAGGCACCAGGTAGATCATCAAAGAACATTCAGATCCTACACTGTGTGGCAGATGTGTATAAAATGATTTATGTTACAGGTTGTATTGTTAGCTCATACTTTGCATCTTCCTTGTGCTTTTCAAGATTGCCCAGTGTAAGCATTTGTGGTAATTTTGTGTAGATTGGAGATAAGGTTAGAGGGATGAGAAGTGGCCTGGCAATTTCTGAACAGAAAAGTTTTGTAGCTGTCTTTATAATTGCAAAGTTTCTCTGTGATTGTTATAGGTAATTTACAAAAAGAATTGTTTAGCAAGAGAATAGATACAATTGTTCCTTAAAGTATATCATTGTTTATTATTGAGCTTTAAGTAGCAGATTTTCTTTATTTACTGGATAAATAAGTCAGATAGATGTAACTACCTTAAAAACTATTACAACTGTGAAAACTTAACACTTTGTATTAAGTTCTCATTACTTAACATTCTGCAGTAATTGCAGTGAAAATATGGAATAAAGAAAAAGGGTATTGGCAGACTTTTGACTACATTACTGTCTATAAAAGTTTCTTCATGTGGATTTTTTTTTTTTTTTTGCCAGTTCTGGAGCTTGAACTCAGTGCCTGGGCACTGTCCCTGAACTGCTTTGGCACAAGGCTAGCAATCTACCACTTGAGCCACAGCACCACTTCTGGCTTTTTCTGTTTATGTGTACTGAGGAATCGAACCCAGGGCTTCATGCATGCTCTGCAAGCATGCCATATTCCCAGCTCCATATGGAATGTTTTTAGCATCAGTTTACATTTGTGTTTTAAAACTCAAAGATCTCCCCGGCACTACACCAGTTTGATTCTGAGGCCAATTTCAGGGTTTAGTTTACACATTGACATGATGGAAAATTGAATCCTTATATTATTTTTTCTTTTTTTTTTTTGTTGGTTGTGGGGCATGAACTCTGGACCTGGGCTTTGCCCCTCAGCTCTTCAGCTGAAGGCTAGCACTCTACCACTTGAGCCAGAGCACCACTTCCGGCTTTTTCTGCTTATGTAGTGCTGAGGAATCGAACCCCAGGGCCTAGTGCATGCAAGGGAAGCACTCTACCACTGAGCCACCTTCCCAGCCCCTGAATCCTTCGATTTTTAATTGAGCCTTCTCTCCTGTCCTATCTCACTTGAAAGAGATGTGTTTTCTGCAGAATTTAGGAGATCCAAGTTTATTTCTGTCTTAGGGGGAAATGAATAGACAAAAGATATCTTCATTTTGGTCTAATCTATCAAATAGCTTAACATTGCTTAAGAAATACAGTTGTATCATGTGAAGCAGTATTGGTATGTTAGATTTCTATGTCAGTTTTGCTCACAAAAGGGAAGGTAGGTGGTAGTAGAGTCCAGATTCCTATATAATACTTAATAAAAGTTTTGTAGTACTGGTTTGTGGCTTATGAATTAAAGAAGCTACTTTTTGTAAGATGAGCATAATAGGAAAATGATAATAACATTTAGACTGTTAAACTGTTTTAGGCAATAGTGGCTTCTAGTTTTCGGTTCTGTCCTTAGTGGTATTTTATTTTCCTAATACTATATTTGGAAGCAACTTTTTCCATCTAGCTTACTATATAGATTTTGTCTTAAGTGAAATTCCAGAAAAACTACTTGTGCCTTTGTTTTCATTTTCTGGTAAAAAAAAATAGTTTTAACATAGGAAATATAAAGAATAAAGTGAGCAGTACACAGAAAGTATATGTATAATTCCCATACCAATAAGTTATTCTTAACATTATGTCACATTTCCCTCTACTCTTTTTTGAAACACATTTTTCTATAGATAAAAGCACATGGTATATGTAATATAAATTTTTCTACTTTTAGTAATGCAGACACATTTTTGCTTATAGTATATAACTTTGTAACATTTTTACCAGTTTTTGTTCTTGTAATTGTTATTAACGAGTTGTACAAAGGGCTTGCAATTGTGTGTCAGTTTATGAGTACAATGCTTCTTGGCCAGTGTCACCCCTTTATAATATTTTAATATTACATTCTACCTTGTGAATGTATCTTACTTTATTACTGTTCATCTAATTTTGAATATTATATAACTTCCAATTTTCACTTAAATAGTTGCCAAGGAGCCTTGTCAACTAGTTATGTCTCTATTTAAATTTTTGTGGAAGAATAATCGCTGTTAAATTTCTGGAAGGGAAATTTCGAAGTGAGAAAGTATTATTTTTACATTAAAGAGTTACATTTTTTATATAATTTATGTTTATTATTTGTAAACTTGAAAATATAGATAAATGAAAAAAATGACCTACCCTGAGATACCACCGTTAGTTATTTTCAGATTCGTCTCTGAAAGATAACTGAGTGTTCCTTAACACCATACCTCTTAAACTGCTTACTTGAAGTATATTCAGGTAAATGTATGGTCTCTTGAATTTTACTGACTTTTCCTGAAAGTGGGCCTATTAAAATGGCATGTTGGTATTAGATTACTTGCCTCTCTTAAGAGAACCTGGAATGCAGAACTGATACCAAGCTCACTCTGAAAATTGCTTGTGTTCACTAAAAGCTCTCTATGCATTTTAGGACTTTTCTCTTTAGATCTAATTCTTAAACTACTACCTTAAAAAGGTAGGAGGTTTTTTTTTTAATTTTCCAAAATAAAGTCTGAAAATTTTATTTTTATAGCAAGAATACAAAGAAAAGAGCGTATTATATGATATTTAAAATATTTCTCAAAGCAAACTTATGTTTTAAATGCATTTGGATAATTTGCTTTGAAATTTTTAGCTCTGTTCACTAATCCTGGTGTTTATTTTGTACTACAAAGTATTCCAGATTTCAAGCAGTAGCTGTCTAATGCACAGTAGAAGGACTTGTTAGCAAATAACTTAACCTCTAAGTTGTATCTAAGCCCATTTATGATCTTTAACTGTGTACTGAAATAGAAATTATATTTGTCACATAATGTATATGTGCTTTGT